ATTTTGACCAATTGCTGTATCCAAAGGATTACATATCCTTATGTATCCTTACTTATCCTGGACATAAATTGTTTCAACTTCTACCCTCAAAATGACGCTATAGGGCACTGCACATCAGAACTAGACACAAGGACAATTTCCCCCCCGAATGCCATCACTCTGCTAAACAACTAATTCCCACAACACTGTCATATTACCTACTAAGACTGCATTACTATTATTCTTCTCTTTCTTCCTAGTACCTATCTCTTCCCACTTATGACTATAACCATGTTGCTTGTATCTTTAAATTTTATATTGTTTTTTTGTTCCCTAGTATAATTTGATTGCTTATTAGTAACCTATGAATATCACTGTTGTATCTTATGATTCTTGATGAATGTATTCTATTTTTCTTTATGTACAGTGAGAGCATATGCACCAAAGAAAAAATTCCTTGTGTGTCCAATCACACTTGGCCAATAAAGAATTCTCTTCTATTTTATTACTAGACTCGTGGGCAATTGGGAAAGAGAGTCTCCCTAGATGACAGGAAGATTATATTATTTAACAGAAAGATACTAGAGAGCATACTAGCTGTGCAGGCACTTATCAGCTGCGCAGAAACCATGGGAGACAGGTGGTTGGTCCCTCAAGTATCCTGGCCCTATGCCACACAGGCCCAACTCCTTTTCTAATCTTGCTTCTACCAAAGGAGCTGATAATGGAAAGATAGGAATCACAGATATTTACAAGACTGGGGACAGGGCTTCTAAAGTAAATTCTGCTTCTCTGAACATGGACCTCTCCTGCTCTTGGAGGATAGTACAATATATTCTTCAAGATGCCCTATTATCAAACCTCTTGGTGATCTTAAGTATACTTAAAGCTAGATTACAACAATATGCAAATTTATAATATGACTTGCTTGATTTATGGCTTAACAGGATACACACACACACAAACTATATATTTACCTATTGTACTTTAAAGAAGAAACCATGATAAAACAAACCATTGCTTCATGTAATGTGTGAATTCAGCTATTATTTCATATGCTATCTTAGTAATTCATCTTTTATTCTGTTTATGTAATAACGGAAGTTATACTGCTTTGCAGGAAGTATTCAAATTTGGCCAAGTGTCTTGAGAAACAAGCAAGAAAAACAGTAAATCAGCAAAGGCAAAGCTTAGAAAGTAAGAAATGAACAATAACAGCATTGTTTAAGTATCTTTCCATTAAAGATATTGAAACGGATGAGTTACAAGCAATGCGTAATGAAAAAGTGATTTTGTAAAATCAAAGGATTTGTTATTTTAGAATGAAGTGCATTCATCTTATTCAATGTTTTCCCCATAAAACACTTCAATACAGGTAGTCCTCAATTTATAAGAGTTTGTTTAGTGACTGTTTGAAATTACAATGGCATTGAAAAAAATGACTTTTGACCATTTTTCACACTTATGATGGTTGCCACATCTCCATGGTCATGTGATCAAAACTCAGACACTTGGCAACCAACTCATATTTATGACGATTGCAGTGTCCCATAGTCATGAGATCACTTTTTGCAACCTTCTAATACGAACTATCAATGGGAAACTATATTAATTTAACAACTGTATTACTGAGCCGTAGTGGCTCAGTAGTTAGAATGCAGTATTGCAAGCTAATTCTGCTGCCAGCAGTTCGAATCTCACCTGCTCAGGGTTGACTCAGCCTTCCATCCTTCCCAAGTCAGTAGAATGAGGACCCAGATTGTTGGGGGCAATATGCTGATTTTTTTAAGCTGCTTAAAGACGGCTGAAACCATTGTGAAGCCGTACATAAGTCTAAGTGCTATTGCTATTAACAACTGTAGTGATTCACTAAACAATGGCAAAAAAGGTCATAAAATAGGCCAAAGCTCATTTAACAAATGTCTCACTTAGCAATAGAAATTTGGGGCTTAATTGTGGTGGTAAGTCAAGCACTACATGCATATACAGCTGATTAACCAGAAGTTAAAAGGACAGAAATGTTAGTCACAAAATACGCAATCTCAATTGGACTCGGGGAACAGCCTTTCTCAGAACACCTCAAGAAAACCACTAAAGATTTCTAGCTGAAGATGAATGACATTCATTGTTTCCTTGGTTTCGTAGAAGGTTATTCAGTTATATCCATTTTATTCTGTTTTTTAAAGGAAAGAAATATTCTACTGCCTGTTTGTGCCCTGAATGCTATCAAATTCTATAGCATAACCATATATCGGTAAGCCAAATAATAAAAAGCACAACTTGATTAATATATGCTAGAATTTCTGGAATGTTAGGGCTGTAATTCAGCTATGTGAAATACAGTACACGTGTACATGGATACAAAGGCAAGTAAAGTTTGGAAGAATGTAGAAGTCTCTGCTCGATTACTACTCATGTACGTACTCTGTTTAGTACAACTGGCTATCATATATTTAACTCAAGTACCAAAAAAGCTTGCATCGAATACTCTCAGCTTAAACAAATTACAGAAAAATGAATGCAACTAACAGTTCTCTTGTCAGACTAAGGCCTTTTGCTACCCTTTCTCTCCCTCCTTCCAAATGTATTTCTGAAGCCAATTCCCCCTCCCCATAACCCAATGTTTCTTTAATTGAGAAAGCAATCCTTTTCCATGACTTTTTTTTTGTTTGTAAAATGGTGGGGAAAGGAGGAGAAAGACTTCGGAAATCCTAAAAAAAGTACCATATGTACATAACCAGGAGGAAGTTAGTTTTCACTTCACTGACACCCTTGAACCAACCACCTTTCCGGGGGTTGAAAACAGCCCTTGCTGATTCTAACTCCGGTATTCAGGCTGCCAAGCTGAAAGGGGCAGGAGGCGACAGAGGTCTGGGTTTGCAATCCTTCTACAAAGCCTGGGCGGATTCTTCCTCTGTGTGTGTGTGTGTGTGAGAGAGAGAGACAGAGAGAGAGACAGAGAGAGACAGAGAGAAGGCAAATCCCTCTTCTCAAATACTCCGGATCCAGGGCTGGCTTACTCGGGCGAAGCGTTCGGAAAGGAAGAATTAGCGCAACAGTTTTATCATGGTTTCTTCTTTAAAGTACAATAAATAAAAATACACTGTATGTGTATATTATATGTGTGTGTGTGTGTGTCTGTGTCTCTGTGTGTGTGTGCGCGTATTCTTACACGGGAAAATACCCGAATACAACAAAACTAGCATACCTACACCCGTGAAAATCTACAAAAACGTTGTGTGTATGTATGTGTATATGTGTGTGTGTGTATATATATGTGTGTGTGTGTGTGTACACACACACATACATACACACACATGTATATATGTATGTAATAATAAATAGATATGATATAAATAAATAGATATGATATAAATAGATATGATAAACCATAATCAAGTCATATTATAAATTTGCATACTGTTGGGATCTAGTTTTAAGTATACTTACGACCACCAAGTTTGGGCATCCACGTCAACCCCAGCCCGCCGCGTCGTTCTCCCCCTTTTCCTCCCTCCCTTCCCCCTCTTTTCCTTCTCTCACCGACATGGCGCTGGATCCCTGCTGTTCCGAGGCCTTCTGGAGGACATCGCGGAAATCCATGACGGCCTCTCTCCAACGGTTCTTTTCCCTCCCCTCTTCGAAGGCGCTCGGGCGGCGTGGAGCGCCCCTCCGCTCTCTCCTCTCGCGCCTGCCTCTCTCTCTCTCTCCTTCCCCGGACTCGCTCCTCGCCCAGCTGACGAAAAAAGTTGCTCGCGACGCCCCTCCCCCCAATCCTCACTTCCGGCCCGCGGGCCTCTCTATGCCTTCTCTCCTTTTAAACAGCGCCTCGGAGTTTTCGACCGAGTTGGTGGTTTGGGGTTTTTTTTTTGTTTTTTTTTGTTTAGGCCAACGTCATTTCCGTCACTCGCTTCGTAAGCGAGCACGCACGCACGCGCCCTCCCCTTCCCGAATTATAATGATTTTTTTAAAAATGTCCCTGCACGTCACGTGATCTGGGTTTTTTTCCGGAAAGGCGGTGGGGAGCGGAAGGTTCTTCCACGTGTAATGTGTGGGTGAGGGCTCATCGAGAGGTTCGAGTCCTTCTGTTCCTCTCTTAGGGAATGATGCGGAGGACTGGGCTGGTGCTTTATACGGGCGGGTGCTTTTGCTGCGGGCTTCTTCGGAATCGGAAGCTAAGCAGCGTCGGGCCGGGTTGGGGGTTAGGGCTCAATGTAGGCTAGCTAGACTGGGTACATTGGTGGATTAACCATTAAGCAGACTAAGCAGGTGCTTAGGGCATCAGGCCCAAAGGGGGCACCACAAAGTTGAGTAAGAAAAAAAAAAACCCAATGAAGATTTGTTAAAAAAAAGTTTGTATAGTATGTACAAAAGGGGAGGGGCACCAAGATTTGTCAGTGCTTAGGACACCTGTGAGCCTTAATTCGCCACTGACTGGACATTGCGATCCACTTGCGAAGGAGGGACTAAGGAGCTATTCCCCTTCTGTTGCAATTGCATGTAGTTGCATGAGTGTGTCGGGTAGTCGCTGGAGGGCAAAACTGGAAGCTTTCACTTTTGTATGGCTTTTTGTGTTGAAGTTGCCATGAATTTATTCACTTTTCATCATGCGTGTATGTTGAAGTAGGAATTTCTGTTATTATATTTTTATTCTAGCTTTGCTAAAATCACTGAAGGCATTGAAAGTACCTAATACAGGTAGTCCTCGACCTAGGACCACAATTGAGCCCAAAATTTCTGTGGTTAAATGAAACATTTGTTAAGTGAATTTCCCCCCATCTTTTACCACCTTTCTTACCACAGTTGTTAACTGAATCACTACAATTGATAAGTTAGCGACCTGGTTGTTAAGTGAATCTGGCTTCCCTGTTGATTTTGCTTGTCAAAAGGTTGCAAGAGGGGATCACATGACCTTGGGACACGGCGATGGTCATAAGTATGAACCAGTTGCTAAGCATCTGAATTTTGATCACATGATCATGGGAATTGTACAAAGATGCTAATTATGAAAAATGATCATAAGTCACTTTTTTCAATGCTTTGTAACTTTGAACGATCACTAAATGAACTGTTGTAAGTTGAGGACTATTTGTAATTGTATGAGTGTACCTGGATACACTTAAGGTCAAAACTTAATTTTGTCTGGCTTTTTATGTTTAAGTCACCATGAATTCTTTTTATCATGCATGTATGTTAAAAAATAAATTTCTTCTATTATATTTTTATCCTACCTTTGCTATAAATAACTGAAGGTGTAGAAAATGCCTAATATTCCTCTTATTTTCCCCACAATCCTGTGAGTGGCTTTGGCTTAGAGAGAGAGAGTGGGCCAGAGTCCCCAGCCATCTTTCATCTTTCAATCTCCTGGTTTCTGGGTCAACATCTTCACCACCACACCAAACTGGAACTCTTCAAACATCTTGATAAGAATGATTGATTTTATTTTTATTTGTAACATGCTCCAAATTGTGGAATTCGTACATTTTCACATTTCCGTTTCCATGTGAAGGTTTCTCTAATGTATCAGCACCTAAATAAGAAGTAACAGATTTTCTGGTCTGCCTGTTACATTGTAAGTATGTTACTTACACTTTATGTTATAGTCTGACCTTTGGACTTTCTATTCTGGATACAGTTTATGAAGGAGAGATTGAAAACCTTTGTTTCTTTGTTTTGGTATTGTGGTGGGAATTGCTACCTAGTTCATTGCAACAAATTTTGTATAATCTTCATTATGTTATTTTAATAAAACATAGCCTTAGTATGTTTTTCAGCCTTAGATATGAAGAGAAAATATGGTTCATCGAAAATAAAGCCAGAAATGCCTTATATCCTCTTCATAAGTGCTTGGTGATGAGGACAGGGATGCGGGAACTGGATTTAATAATAAACTTAATTATAGTTTAATGTTGTAAGTGATGATTATGTAACTGCCTCAACTAGCGTTAGAACCTAATTAGCCTTGTCTGGATAGAGCCAGGTCTGATTATTTTCAATATTTTCAATGAATACTAAGTCTATAAGATAGACTGAGAGTGAAGCATTCCAGAGGACAGCAGTGGCAAACTATTTTTGCATTGCTGCCAACTACATGGATGTGTCTAGAGGAGGTGGGGGAAACCAGTTCATCTTATTTGTTTGATTTATTAGAAGTTTAAAGTTTTACAACATTCACTCTTCATGCTTATTTTTCTGCAGTGAGGTAGGTTGTCCTAAAAGTCACTGGATCAAAGTTATCCATTTAGTGGCTAAACGTGGACTGCAATCTGAGTTTCTGTGATGCAAGGCCAATATGTTAATACAATGATTTCCTAACTAGAAAATTTCATCTTTACATTGTAATCATTGGTATTATAAGGTTCAGGTATCATAGAGTAAAATATCTCAGAAGTGTTTAAGAGTCAGTTGTAGCAATAAGAAAGAGGGCCAGTTTACTCTAGTGGTAAGGCATCGTGCTAGAAACTAGAAGATTGTTAGTTCGTGTCTTGCCTTAGTCATGAAAGTTAGCTTGGTGACCTTGGGTGAATCATTCTCAGCCACGATATTGGGTTCTTGATAACAAGCCTGTTCAACAATTCTTTTTATAACCAATGGATTAATTCTTGCTTGATACAAAAAAAATCAAGCTCCACCTTAGAATGTTTTTAATTTTAATGAGAAAGGAAGAGTTATAAAAATAATGGGATTGAAGTTGCCAATACTGTTGCTAGTAACTTCTCAGCAGCTTACCATTAGTATTTGAGTAAGTAGGTGTTCCATTTCACTTACTTTGGTGTAACCTTTGTTGAAAAAGTTTTTGGCATTATGTATGAATGGTATAGAATGAAAAAAATGAGAATCTGCTGAATGAAATCTAGATCTTTCACAGATTTAAAATATTGCTATAGAAAAATCCCACGTACAATGGCATCCAGTGTGGTGCCCCACTCCCTCCACCACAGGGCAAGAGTTCTACAGGTGTTTATTCAACACGCCCCCTCCAAACAGGTCCTCAGAAAGCATCCCTATTGCACGGGTCCAGATTCCAAGCTCAGTACAGCAAGAGTCACTGGGTAACCAAGTCCAATAGCCACACAAGAAGTCCAGGAAAGCATCCCAGGAATCCAATAGTCCAGGATCACGGCACGGGCACAGAACTTGGCACGTTGATCCAACAACACTAAAGGGCAAGGGCAGGGTAGCCCTTCATGAGAGGCAAGGTTGCCTCCTTGTGAGTAGTCTGGCTGACCGGCATTGTGCCTGTCTCCTCTTTGCTTTACATGTGTCATTGGATCCAGAGGAGGTATGGACTACACCACCTCATTGTTAAGGGAGGCAGCTGCTCCTGGTCCTAGGCTGGAGCCTCCTTCAGCCTCAGCTTCCCTCAACCTTAGACTCTGGCTTCTCCAATTGACCCAGCTGAGGCCACTCCAGAAGGCCAGCATTCTCTGAGCCCCAATTCTGACCAATTGCTCCACACTTTCCTCTACAGACTCAAACTCACCCGCATCTGGAGAGGAGTCCAGGGGAGGATCCATGATACTCTGTGCTTGTGAAACAAATGCCAAGGAGATCTCCAAAGTCCCTATGATTCTATATCTTATTAGTTTAAAAAGCAAACTAGCCAAATGTTCAATTAAGTACATGGATGCTCTTTTTACTTCAAAGCTTCCATGACGTGCTGCTATCTTTATTATAGATACAAATCAATAGGTTTTGAATGTGGGTTTTTAGTGGCAAGTAATTTTTCTCAATCATTTATCTTCGTCTAAAATATGTTTTTCGTTATAGAGGTACAATATCAACTATCAGCTATTTTAATTTTATGAAAACCAAAAGATGACTGTAATAATTGGTGAATCAGCAGATGGCACTCTTTCCTCTTAGTCCTGATCTGAGGCACTACATGTCAGCAAACGGTATGTGTTTTATGTCTTTATCACATCCTGATCGTTCTTTTTAGAAAAATAAATACTATGAAATCCTAGATCATTGATGCCTTGCCAAATGTAAATCTAAATAACACTAAGCTGAAGATTTGCTGCATCAAAATACAGATACTCCCTGATTTACAGTCATTCATTTAACAATCCTGAAGTTACAAAAGCTTTGAGAAAAGTGAGTAATGACTGTTACAGCATTCCCAGAGTCAGCTGATCAAAACTAAGGTGCTTGACAGGTCTATATGTACTGAAATAGTTCCTTTAGTTCAGGATGATTTATACAGGTAGTCCTCAATTTACGACCACAATTGAGCCCAAAATTTCATTTGTTAAGTAAGTTTTGCCCCATTTTATGACTTTTCTTTCCACAGTTGTTAAGTGAATCACTGAAGTTGGTAAAGTTAGTAACCCAATTGTTAAGTGAAACTGGTTTCCCCATTGACTTTGCTTGTCAGAAGGTCGCAAAAGGTGATCACATGACCCCTGGACATGGCAAGTGTCATAAATATGAGTCTTGCCAAGCATCTGAATTTTGATTATGTGACCATGGGGATACTGCAATGGTCATAAGTGCAAAATGGTCATAAGTCACTTTTTTCAGGGATGTAATTTTGAACACTCACTAAATAAACTGTCGTTAAGTTGAGGACTACCTGTTATCCCATTAGAATAAGAATGAATCAATTTTCTTGTACCACTTAAAACAGCAGTCCTTGAAAAAAGACATAATAGGCTTGGAAAAATGACTAAGCAGTACAGTCAAAGATTGGGGACTTGAACATCTTTCTTGTGTGGAAGAAATTAGATTGTGATTCTTTTGCTTGAAGACAATTTAGGGGAGACATGATTGAGGTGAAATCATGCCCCGAATTAAGAAAGTGACAAAGAAACCCCCCCCCCCCTATTTCCAAGCACTAGGTCTGCCAATGAAGCTGGCAGGAAGAAGATTCAAAACAGGAAAAATAATTTACCACATAGCAAAAAATAAACCTTTGGAATACATTATTGCAATATAGTAATGGCTCCGAACATGGATTACTTTGAAAGGGGATTGGGGCTCATTTGTGAAAGTAAGGTCTTATCATGTCTACTATTAGCCTTGAACACTCAGTATTTCCATTGGCTAAGAGTAGCTTGTCTATAAGTACTGTTGCAAAGGAACAGGAAAAGGAGGGAAGTACTGTTTATCTCCTGCCTGATTGGCCTTTAAACGGGGTTTGGGCATGATCCAATAAATATATTGCTATATTCTTGTAGAAATGTAGAAAACCTAGAAGTCTAGAAAATCTTTTTTTTTTGTTCATTCTTGAAATGTGACTTTTGATAGCGTCCTCCAAAATATTTTTATACATTTATTTGAATCTCATCTTTATTATTTTTATGAATAACTCAAGGTGATGAACAAAATAGGCTCCTCCTATCCCCCGCCCCCAATAACAACAATCCTGTGAGGAGGTTTGGGCTGTTTCCCTTACTGGCCAGTTATCAAACAATGTCAGGGGAGAAGATTTAATTTTTTTTAATAATCCTGTAAATCTAAAATAAAAGGCAAGTTTTTATATAGTGTGTTCGCTGCCCAAAATTTCATCAGATAGATAGGCAACCTTGCAAATTTAAACAAACAAACAAATAAATAAATTGATGGGTCCATGTAAATCATCAGGATCTGAGTTCAGATCAAAGGCAGCTTCATTTTACTTGTATATTGCTTACATGTATCTGCTCTATTTTCAAGCAATAAAAACTTTCAGGCCTGACGGCACTTATTTGGTATTTAATTTCCTTGATTGGAGATTTACAGTGTTTGGGTTTCTATTTATTCATATATTCTGGGTAAACATAAAATTAGGGCTCAGAATATCAGCAGTCTAACAAATCTCTGCTTTTGAACATTTCTTGGAAGAAAACCTCTTAGAGAGCGAAGTCCTCTCTCCTTTTGTGCACAGCTTTTATTTGGGAAAAAAAGATCTCTACCTATCTTTGACCTTCCTAAGGTCACTATGACCGGAATTCTGGATTCTGGATATTTATCGCATATAGGGAATGTTAAAGAATTGAGGATTGCCCTCCCTTCCTAAAAAGTGTTATTTTATGGCTTTTTGTACAGTTGCTATTTTGTTATCAGTAAATGGGAGCAATAGCCTCATTTTCAGCAATTTGACATGTCAAAAAAAAAAAATACCTTGAGCAAAGAGGATCACCGCAGAGCAGGCTTTAGTGTGTAGAGGTTACTGAAAAATTATGTTTAGGCTGTGTGTGTTTGTGATTTATGTGTTAGAGACTTCGGTTTTTAAATCCATGAAACTATGGGATTCTCCCATTGCTGAATGAACTTTCAATGTCGATTGAAAGAAATCTTAACTGGCCTATTTGTTAGGAAAGAAATGTATGAACAAATCATCCTTGTGAAAATGCATGAAGGTGAGAAAAGTAGCTGCAGGCAAAATCCATAGTTTTAGAAGCTGGGAATGCTATTGTTTTTTGCCACAGTAGATAATTATGTTACTGCTTCAGCCAATAATGTACTGGAAAGTTACAGCTGAGCTGTTTTAAAGCATTCCAAAGGGGAGTCATTATGAGTCCTGTAGAGAAATTCTGGAACAGCTTTTGTTCTTCTATGCGTTAGTCCTGTGCTCCTAAATTGACTACAGTAGCTGGGCATTAGATGTATCAATTAAGAAGTTTCTTGTCTCTTTTAGTGATGCAAATGATGACTGTCATAGGCCTGGAAGGTAGAAGACTATATATTCACTGCTGGGAGTCTCACATATGATGCAGTGTACTAAAACAGAAGAAGTGCAGGATATGCTACAACTCAGTTTTTACTCATGACTTTTTGGAGATGCTGAGCCAAACTACACACAAACATCATCCCTGCAAGTCAGAAACATGATATTCTCAAGCACATGTGTGCTTTAATTCCTCTACTACTTTATGTTTCATACAATAATAGGGGGTTTAGGCATACTATAAGAAATTGTATTAGGTTATATGCTTTTTAAATATCATTTTATATAATTTTTTTTAATGGTAAGAAATAACCCAAGCTAATATAGAGTAAGGAAGAAGAAAAAAGAAACCAGAGGCGGCTAAAAGTGCAAGAAAGAAAGAAAAGGAAGAGGAAAATATAAAAGAAAGAGAAAAATACAAAGAAGTGGCTTTCAATGGTTTTTATAGCATTCTGTGCATCTTGGCATACAGTCATGCTGTCCACATGAGCATGGAAATGTCTTCAGACAACTCTGGCTCCCTTGGCTAAGAAACAGATGAATACCACACCCTAGAGCAGTGTTTCTCAACCATGACGACTTTAAGTCCTGTGGACTTCAACTCCCAGAATTCCCAAACCAGCTGTGCTGGCTGGGGGATTCTGAGAGTTGAAGTCCATAGGACTTAAAGTCGCCAAGGTTGAGAAACACTGCCCTAGAGCAAGATACAACTGGACAGGGGAAACATGGAAGTTCTATCTTCTCAAATTCCAGAGCAGGTAAGGGAACATCTGCTTCAGTGATGAACAAGTTTTGAGGTGTGAATGTTTTCCTATCATGCTATCTCAGCCAATGCTGTGAGACACCTGAACTGCAACTATTGTTTGGTTCAGAGAAAAGAAAATGAAGAGAATTAATGGACATGCTGTGGATCTTATTTCCTCCCTACCTATTACAAGCAAAGTATCTAGCTTTTTTTAAAAAAAAGATCCACTAATTAATGCTCTGCACCTAGAAACCCTAATGCATATCAGATACATTTATTACTCAGTCAAATTAATAAATAAAGCAGCTATGGGAGTTGGCTCTGTAGTAATAAACCTACCAGGATTCTAATACTTTACAAGCTTTAGAAATTTGAAAAGAACAAAATAATTTGTCAATGCAATGAACCTATATTCCAAACCAGGAAGTTTGTTGCACCATCGGAGGAAATAGGTTATCACATCACATGATTCTGTTCACAGTTGGTGCCCTTATCAGGTAGGTGAGTTGATTACTTTTGATGGGTCTGTAGTGCACAATAGATCACACTTTATTTTTTGAGATGCTGCAGCCTAGGGAATGGCAGGAATTCTTATCCCATGGTATTTTTCTGCTTCTGGCTGCTGATCTTAAGGGGAACATCACTAAAACTTGTCAGTTCAGTATTTATATATGTTGAGTTATGAAATATTTTTATTTTGTATCTGTAGATGTTCTCTGAGTGGCTGAAAGGACAAAGATGAAAGCTGAAGAATGCAGACTATAACATTCAAGTGGCACTATTTGGAATGTATAAATCAACACTTATCTTTCACGAATGCATAGCTAATACCAATAGACAAGGCCATTTATTGCTTTTTTCCTTGAGAAAGGAACTGAAATCTTCAAGGTCCTAGTCTGTTATAAGAGTCCTTCACTGTAGCAGCTCTGAAGTGGCATACAACATATTGTAAGAAAAATACCAAAGATAACGGTTGATAGGGGAAGGACTTTTGTGTTCTATTCTTGTTCAGTCACGTAGTGTTCTCAAGTAGTACAAGGATGACAATGGGGGAAAAAACTATTTTACCGATCTTGCTGGGTGAAAAGTTAGTGGTGCAGAAGTTCCTTGGTAGAATATAACTATATAATTTTTCCCTTCTGAAACAGAACATATCACATAATTTCCCTGCTAGTAGGAAAATCAGATGAAAATTCTCGTTTACAACTGCCTTTGTCCAAGCATTTAAGAGAACTGCATCTGGGATAGTCATGAAAACCTCAATACAGATTGCAAGATGAAAGAGTTATGCTCATTTTGCAACATGTCCATTCCTGGTTATAGAAATGTTCTGTTCATAGCCACAGTTTTGTAGTGCAGTTGTCTAACTAGCATCTTCTGCTTTTCTCCCCCCAAACAGGAAAATAGTAAATTTAGAATCAGGAGATAACAATGCTTTAAAAATATGACACCCACTTCCCCAGCAGCATTATATGTACCTGTATAGGGAGAAGTGGCTCTTCCCTCCAGTGATAACATACAAGTAGTGCTTGGTTAACAACCACTTGACAGTTACGACACCATTACCGAATGATACTTTTGTCCACTCCCCAAAGTTCCAGCCATCCCAGTACCCTATGATGATTTGAGTATGATCTGGGTGCTTGGCAACCAGCTCCCACATAAAGCATGGGAGCTGGTTGCAGCATCCCAGTGTCAGATTACAATGATTTGTAACCTTCCCTGCTTGCTTCCCACAAGCAAAGTCAATGGGGAAACTGGCAGAGAAAATTTTAAATTTCTTGGGTAAGTATCCCCAGCCCATGTAACCTCCCTGAGCCTTGCTGCACTTGTTCTGCTGAAACGTTTTCGGTAGGTGCCCAGGCAATCAATAAAGGAATTGGTGGTACAAATATTACTTTTCTCATGGTAGTTGTAGCACCCTATACAAATATATTGGGGACATTTGTGGACTTTGTAAAAAGAAAGTTTGTCCTGACCTTGGTCTTCTATGTAACTTGGTAGAACCGCACTGTCCATCTTCTAAGAACGTACATTTCTTTCGTCTTTTTTATGTGTAACTCTCTGCCAATAAGTTAAAGCAAGAACTAAAACACTGGGAGCAGAGAAGCATTGTATCCATTTTTTCTCCGGGCCTCTTATCATAGCATGGCACAGTCACCTCAAACTGGGCGCAGTAAGAATCTTTGAAACCTCCATTCAGCTAAATGAGACAGTCCATTCATTACTTACAATGAAGCATTTGTCTCTTGCAGTTGAACTATCAATGAAAGTTTATGGGAGAGATTTAGTAAAAACATTAGCTAAAGGAAGGACAATGTGAAATGGAAATCTGAATCAGGGATACATCCAAAATATCCATAGATATACAGATTTATAGACATCAGAGAGCAAAACTCACAAAGGAGTTTTGTGTAAGATGAGAATTTATGCAACAAGTTCTTTTGAAAAGCTTTCTGTAGGCTTAGCCTGAATCTGCTTTAAGTTGGCAAAAGGAAAAAGCATTATTCTCTTCTATTGTAAAACAGGGATAATTACATGGAAGTAATTAATATCAATTAAAATTATTCCACAAATACATGAATTTAAATGAGAATATGTGCATTAGGAATTTCTCCTACCAGCTACTATGTATATTATGCATAATTTTAACAATGTTGATTTTTACACTCTAAAACTTTTTTCTGCTTACCTTTTGACAACTTTTATTTTTTTAAATCAATGTATACCTGTATTATTGTTGGTATAATTTAATAATGTTTACTACATCATGGTTCCCATCCTGATAATATTCCAAAAGTCTTTCAAAATCTGGCTCATCTACTGTAGTCCTGGGGAGGTTTAAGGTGGTTATACTTCTTTTCTTGCTCTACTCTATATGCTTTCCTCCCTTCTAGACATGCATACTGTGTTTTTTGACTTCATTATTTTTCCCTTTTTTAAAGTTTGCCCAGAGTTGTCTGGAATTGGACAGCCTCTAAGTCATATAAGTTAAGTACATACATAAAGCCATTTGTAGATTTGGCTAAATCAATGAGTCCCAAAGGTGCTTTTTCAGGAGGCAACTGGACTTTCTTGGGTTTTGTTTTTGTTTTTTTGTTTTTTTTAAAAGACAGTTTGCTTTTCATGCAAGAAGTTTCTTCAGCTCTGACTGGGTGGTGTGGAATGGGGGATTCCATGCCCCACCATCCAGTCAGAGTGGAAGGAGCTTCTTAGATGAGAAGTGAAATGTCTTCAGGCGCCTCATGAAAAAGCACCTTTGGGGCAACCATGACCTGGATAACTGAGAATCTCCATAGACTAAATTAGTGAGGTGGTTATTATGGAGAGTTTACAGTCCGGATCAGATAGTGAAAGAAACAGATAAGAAAAGAATGTAGAGAGATTTTTAGAAGTTCAATTTGTGCTGAAAGTGTGGTAGAAAAGATGGGAATTAAAGGTAAGCCAGAAATCTCAAAAGAACGTAGTTTTTCATAAAATATCATGATCTAGCAAATTATTTTAACTTCTTAGCCTTGGAGAAAGCTGTAGAGCACTGTAAAGCGGTATATAAGTCTAAGTGCTATTGCTATTTATTATTCTTTCTCCTTGGCTGCTTCTATTTTTGGAATCATGTCAAGGTGGATTGCTTGGCTGACTGAAAGCAACACAGGATATTATGCTGATGGATCAGAGACTGCAAGTAATCCATAGGAAGATATGTGGAGAAAATCCCCTTTTGGATGATTAACCTTAATGTTGAAGACTTGGAACCATTCAAAGATGTTGTGATGTTGATGAATAAGGACAGAGTTCAATGATAGGAAGGCTTGGAGGCAAAATAAGTGGATTGGCATTGGATAGTATCGTTTGAGATGGTTGAGAGTGTTCAGTATGAGTACAGCAAGCAGATGAAAGTATGAGATCCACAGAAAGAAAAATAAAATGGATGCCATTAGAACAAGGGTAGTGAGAATTATAGGATTTGAATAGCTCACCCAAGAAAGTTGTGGAGAGAGGGGAAGATGTTGGGAACACAGAGGAGACCCTTGACAAACAATAGAGAAAATGAACATTTATGAATGAGTTAACTGTTTTGGAAATACTAAGTCATGGCAGAATTCCAAAATGGGAGAGGATGATCAATTATAAATAAGGGATCACTCAAGAATAGAAATACTTGAATTTGGTGCAAAATGCTATTTATTTATCATATAGGTGACCCAACTCAGCACAGACTAGGTGGCATAATGCCTAAAAACAAACAAATAACATCATGGAGCAGAACATAGGTAGAACAAATATAACCAATGCAAACTACACACTGATAGGCACAGCATGAATTTATCCTAAAGCTTGGAAAATATACATTTGTTTTAAAATGTCCAGAGTTCAGGTGGTCCAATTTCTGGAGGGGAAATGTTATTCCAAAGGGCAGGTGCCATGACAAAATTCTTTGCCAGGGCAATTTCAGTGGACTATTGGAAAGCTGAAACCTGATTGTCAGATGCCCCTGAAAATAAGAGCAAAGAAATAAGCTTATTCACTTGCACATGGCATTGACTCTACTACCCAGTCCACCAAAGCAATTTTGAGGGTTATCTACCCATCATCTTCATTTCTGCTGAATTTGAAAAACTGAGAAAAGAATGAGCCAATCAGCATTTCCACTCAAGTTGACAAATGGGAGTGTACAAAAAAAGATCATTAAATCATTCCCTTGTTCACACTGCTGCTAATCCTGGAGAAAAAGTCCCTTCACCTCCACCCAAAACAAACAGGAAATAATAATGTTAATGCTTGGTTCCTATCCACATTTTCAGTTTATGGTTGTGTGTGCTTGATTGTTTGCAAATAAGGATCTCAGCATCTGCACAGTAATAGGATGAAACTGCCAGACTACCCACCCAAATCTCTTTAAAAATTCACCAAGAGCTGTACAGTTGACATGATATTGTGTCATTGATTTTATAATCAATAATCAACTGGCTACAGCAGAGGCTAAAAGGGGAAAAGTTCTTCACAAAATATATTTTTAGGATGTAGGAACTGGTCAGATTGTCAGGTGGCTATGATTTACCTTAACCAGACTTCTCTACCCACACTCAATCCATATATATATGTACACTATCCCAAAATGGAACTTAGAAACGCAGAATTTGGTTGAATGCCCAACAAAGCTTATGTGGGGTTGCCAAGGTCCAAAGTGGTTTTTGAATTTGTATAGAATCTTCCAGTGGAAATGCCTTTTGTTAAAATATAAGATTAGATCAAGGGAAGGATTTCTTTGTGTGGAGATGATCTTCATAGAATGAAATGAATTGTATGCAACTATAACACATACTCAATTCACAAGAGCTCACATTGTTTAACACCTCTCTTGATGTTTCAGATATAGGTAAGTAGGACAAAAATTAAGTTCTGATCCAGGTATTTTACTATTTTAATCATGCATCCTATATTTTACTAAAGTTCATGGGTACCAGTGAAGAGGCAATGAATGCTCCTATCACTACACTAGCAAATATGTTAATAGCTTTACAGACACTTCCTTTGCAAGTCACTGTGGATAAAATAATGGGTAATCATTTTGCCACTCCCAGATAATTGCTTACTGCATCTTCAGTAACATCAGAATTTTCTTCTGAATTGTGTTTTTAATCTAGGTTATGATTCTTTAATAGCTCAACTCTGTTTTTGAGATAGACAGATATTGACTGTCTTCTTTACTGATTTCACCTGAAATATGATTTTGGGTTCTTTGGTGTTGAGCTTATTCTTAGCTAAGCTTATGCAGGATGTGGAACTGTTAGCCTTTACCAAACAGGTGTCTTCCATGAATATTGAACTACAGTTTTTTTTATAATTCCTAATCGGCAGAAGAGTGGGAAATTAGCTGTTCCCCATTCTACAATTCAGAATTTCTCTCCATGTGTTGACACAATGGAAGTAGCTAAATTGGCCAAGTCTACAGTATTAACGTGCAGTGTATTTGGAGCCAAGTTCTAGAATGGTGCCACAGTTCTTGGTTACTATGGAGATTAATCTGTGAAAAGACATGAATACAAAATAAAATGTTAAATTGGGATCCCAAGCATGAATTTCCTTACTCTTTTATCTCTCTTTCTGTAAAGTACCCATGGAGATAGAGGAATGTCTCCTGGGTATAACTGAGAAAAGTCTACCAAGACTCCATTTTTGCTAAAATTTCTTTGCTCCTACTACAGCCAAACAATCAGCAATGAAGACAAATTTATCATAAAAGGCATTAAGGAATTAGTAAGGACATTAAAATACAACACAATACAATACAAATATAATATAACTTACCCCCCTCTCCCTCCCTCCCCCTCTGTGTGTGTGTATTTTTCCATTCAATAGTGTCCACTTCTCAGAGACTGCTGGACAGATACCCTGCAGTTTTCTTGGCAAGGTTTTTCAAGTTTTTTGGCATTGCCTTTTTCCAAGGGCTGAGAGAAAGTGACTAGCCCAAGGTCACCCAGCTAGTTTTGTACTTAAGGCAGGGCTAGAATTCAGAGTTTCCCAGTTTCTAGCCTGATGCCTGAACCACTACACCGAACTGGGGCTCAAGGATTATATTGTTGCTGCTAAATCTAGTTAATCTACCATGTTTTCCCCAAAATAAGACCCTGTCTTATTTTGTTTTGACCCCCGAAATAAGAGCTTGGCCTTATTTTCAGGGAGGTATCATTTTTGAGGTGCAGGAGGCAGCAAGCGTGGTCACCTCATAGCTGCTGCCATGTTGCAATATTTGGGGGGCTTATTTTTTTGGGGGGGGCTTATTTTAGCACATGCACTCAAATGCCCGATTGGGCTTATTATCTGGGAAGGTCTTATTTTCAGGGAAACAGGATAGTTAATTATGATGTTCTTTGTTCTTGCATCAGTTACTGTCAGCCAAACAACCCACGTAATCTGAGTATATTTATAGGAGGTTCCTAGGGCGTTCCTGGGCTAAAATGATTGTATTCCCAAAACATGCTTAATGTTGCTACTAACTTAATCCATTTTATGGATTTGTGCAATAAGCTAATCCAATCAGTTGTGCAAGACATTAAACTTTCAAAAGGTACCAAGTTTAACCTTATATATAAATTACAGATATAATTGCTAGGATTTTACTGAATGTTCATACAACTGAATTGTGTGACTTGAACAAAGTCACCGAGTTAAAAGGAAGACCAAGCAAACTGCAATATCAGTAGCTCACTCTGCAGAATTGCTGATGGTGTTACAAATGAAGGCCAACAGACAAACCCAAAGGTTTGGAGTGAACTAGATTCAGTTTTAAAAGTAATCATAATTGAATTATAACTGGAAGCTTTTTCATGTACACCTGAGTGGATGTAAAAACACCAGTTCATATACAGACAAGTTTGAGGTAATCAAAAGGTCCATTTGTTTTTGATTCTATGAGCCACGGTGGCACAGTGGCTCCAGTGCAGTACTGCAGGCTACTTCTGCTGCCTGCCGACTGCCTGCAATTTGGCAGTTCAAATCTCACCAGGTTCGGGACCGTGGCAGCCTGGGTCATTGCCAGTTCTGTGACCCAGGCCGAATCACCACTACCGGTTCGGCCAAATCGGGCTGAACTGGGAGCAACCCACCTCTGATCTGGAGATAGGACATGCATTCAAAATGATAGAGTAACCTTAAAACTTCCCTCTAAACCCAATAATGACAAGAAAATCTCAGGTGTGCCCATGTGTATGATGTGGCATCATTACCTCAACCATATCAGCTTTTGCCTGACACAAGGTAAACTTCACCCTCCATCTTTCAAAAGATTCCCACTCCGATTAAGTCTGCCACTGAGCAAGATGGGAGTTGTAGTCAAACACACCTCTTCCTGTTTCCATCCACAATAAAAATAAAGGACAAAGTATAGTTTTCTATTGCTAAATTGTTGATGCTGCCAGCTTTAATAGAAGGGAGGGCTATTTTGCCCAAGGGGATCAGGTCTCTTTGTCTATGCCTATGAATTAGGAATAAAGCCACTACTGAAGCTTGCAATTATTTGAATAAATGGAGATGTAAACATACAGGGCCAACCTTTTTTTTTTTTAATGCTGCTGAGCTTATAATAGGATTTCCTTTGCTAGTGACTGGTTGTCTTTGCATAACAGGCCCCATTTTAGCAGCATCTCTCTGGGATGTCTCAATCATACATAATTAATAGGGAGGTTAACACACCCATTAAATATTTAGATAATACGGCTGATAGAAATAGTGACTAGCTCCAAATGAACTCAGAGTTGTTTGGGGCCAGGGTTGACTCCCTTAGGGTTAAGTGTCTGGGGTAGCTAGATTATGGAGTTCATACCTTCCCGATTACACAGTTCAGACTTTTGCGCAAACAGAATCAATAATGCAGATGAGCTCCCATATATCACAGCATTCACAGTTTGGTCCTATAAATCAGTGGGATGCAAACTGGCGATGCTTGTGGGCAATCTGAAGGGACAAATGTGGCCTTAGAAATTTTCAAATTTGTCCTCAAACCCCCTATCCATGTCCAACTCTTCCTTTCCCAACTTCAGATGCTACAGGGCTGTGCAAATGCTCCACCTGTCAGTCTCAAATTTAGTTGTGGTTTTCCATCTATTATCTTCAATAGCACTTCCTTCTTCTGTGTCCCATTTCCCATCCCATTAGCTGTGCCCATTTCCTTCCTTTCTGTTCCAGCCACACCCTTCATCGGGCCTGACCTTCATATGACCCCCTCCCCTCTTTTTTCTTTCTTCCTTGACTTGATTTGGCTTGTATCTCCCCCCCCCCCATTTCTATGTGAGCGTTCTGGCTTGTATCAGTTATCTTGAAAATGTTTCTTGGGGTGGGGGGAATGTGTATTTCAGAGGCACTTTCCTCTATTGGATAGCAGAAATTACTTCATTTTTTAATGGGTTGGTTGGATTGCAAATTGGATCCTGTTTGTAGTAGATCTGTGACTTTTTTAGTGGCAAACTAGCTAACTAATAAAGAATGGATAGAGACTAATAAATAAATAATAGTAAAGTAATGGAAGTTTTGGCTATGCCGGTAGCAACTTTCTGGATTTTCTCAGTACCTGCTGAAGAGTGCTAGAAATCACTGGTTGAAGGGTGAATTAGAGTTGCCTTGTCTCCTTTATGACACTTTAAATGTAAATTCCTGGTTTCCGTGTGTGTGGTGGAAGAAAAAAATGAATGCTAATTCCATGCTTTTCCTAAGAAAACTATAAATGTATATCCATGTAGGTAATGCAAGGGCATCCGTGCTTTCAATGTTTACTATTTAGTTATCTGTTTAAATTTCAGTTAGGTAAAGGTTCCCCTCCTACATATATGCTAGTTGCTCCCAATTCTAGGGGGCAGTGCTCATCTCCGTTTCAAAGCTGAAGAGCCAGCGCTGTCTGAAGACGTCTCCGTGGTCATGTGGCCGACATGACTAAATGCTGAAGGCGCACGGAGCGCTGTTACCTTCCCACCAAAGGTGGTCCCTATTTTTCTACTTGCATTTTTACATGCTTTCACTGCTAGGTTAGCAGAAGCTGGGACAAGTAACCGGAGCTCACTCCGTTACGTGGCGCTAGGGATTCGAACCTCCGAACTGCTGATCTTTCTGATCAACATGCTCAGCATCTTAGCCACTGAGCCACCATGTCCCTCTACATTTCAATTAATATTAGTACAATTTTTTGCTATGGTCCTGCTCACATTGATGAACTAGCCCAGGTGCATCACTCAATAGTGTGTCTCTCAGCCTGCCTAAACCTACACAGCCTTGCTGTACATGTCTATTTACAGGTATACCTTGCCTTGCCGTCTTGCAGAGCGGGATTATTTCTTAAGAGATAAAGAGGCATTGGACTGAAACCTTGGTAGCTACTGTTGTGTCTGCAGTCTCCACTGAGTACAGTATCGTACAACTTCCAGTATGCATTCGAATGTAAAAAAACTGCAGCCTGCCTAGTTTTTTTTTTGTTCTTCTGTTGCCTCCGATAAAGGCAGCCTTACTTTTTATGTTTTGTTCTAGTGAGCCCCAGCGACAGCTCTCCTTGTTCTTAAATCGGCAAAAGCGATCAAGGAAAGGACGATGAAAGACTATTAGAACCGGAAATAATAATAATAATAACAGAAACTGGCGATCGATGCAATTATATAGGTTTGTTGAGAACAAGTCAACATCTTTTGAGGGGGAAGCAGTTCTTACAATCGGACACCTCCCTGCTCCCCTTACCATAGGCATCGGGACGGGTCTACTCACCAGCGAGTGCAGCCCATCATAGGAGGAGAGCGGGGAGGAGACGTATTCGCTGCAGGACCGCCCCCCCTCCCCGCTCTCTTCCCTCTCTGCACATTCGCTCCGATCATTATGACGTCACGGCGTTCTTTAAAAAGCACCGAGAAAACAATCGGCATTGAGAAAAATAGATGCCCTCCGATCTTACTAAAAGCGGTGGCTGTGACCCGCAGTTAGAGCGAGCTATATAAGCAAAGGCGAAGAACTACCTATAGAAGCCGCCTCGGCAAACATGGTGTCCCCGGTGACCGTGGTGAGTTCAGTCAGTTGTTTCTGTTTTCTTTTTGGCAAGAGTAAAAAAAAAAAAAAAAGCCAGGACAAGATATTCAGGTAGTATCATCAGGCGGAAAGGAGATTCGGTATCTGCAAGGCGACTTTGTGACCCCCCCCCCCCCGCAGGAGTCTTTTTGATCGATAACAATAGACATAGAGTCGCTATGCGGCAGTAACGCTGCCTCCAGCACTCCGGGGTTTCTCCTCCTAGTGCGTACTCTCGCTCTTGTTTTCAGCCCTTTTCTTCCTTTCCTAGAAAGAAAAGGTGGCATGCCAAGTGTTGCTTTTCTTAGCGCCCCCCCCACCACCAAAAGCATCTGAAAGCTCGATTGGATGAAAACATTAAACACGTGACAAGAAAGCGTGACTTTGTTGATTTCATTCCTTGGATCCCCTCGGTTGGGGGTAGGCAACAGGGAAGATGTTTAAGGGGAAGGAGGAAGAAAGAGGATCCAGAGTTAAATCTCTCTTTAATGTCTGGCTTCGGAAGAGAATTAAAGTGCACCGATGTTTTGGGCGCTTTTGCTTGCCAACGCTTGGGTCTGCCCCGAGGCTGGCCTTGTAGTAGAACGTGAGCCGTCTACATGTAGATTCTCGGTCACGAGTTGATGTTGCCTTTGCCGAAGGAAGATCGGGGAATTCCTGTGAGAGAAAATCGGCATCAGCATAAGTTCTATTTCTTACTTTCCTTTGTCCCTTTCTCCTCCCAAAAACCAACCGTTAGATTGGCAATAATGAAACAAAAGCAAAAAAACGGGAGAGCGACAGAAGTCAGCAATTGCTCTTATGTGGGCAGAATAATGAAAATTAACTAGATTTAAATTTAGGATGAGCCAGTTTGGCCTACTGATTAAGGTCCTAGCCCAGGAACTGTGAGTTCTAGGCATGAAAGCCAGCTAGGTGACTTTGGACCAGTCACTCTCTCTCTGTCCAACCCACCTCACAGGGTTGTTGTGGGGAAAATAGGAGGAGGAAGGAATGTTAGGTATGTTCACCATCTTGAGTTACTTTTAAAGTAATAAAGGGAAGATAAAAATGTAATAAATGAATGTGACCCCTGTAATAGATGAATGTACTGAAGGAAAATACTGGCCAGCTGATATAAGTAGTATGTATCTTACAAAGACAAGAGGTTTCAGACTTATGACAGCTTTACAATTTGGGAAGGAGACTTGAATTTGGTTCTCTGATCAGCCGTGAAGCATTCTTATTTTGCAGAACTATTAGAAGGATAATGTAGGCTTTCCTTAGAAATCGTTTCCAGATTTCCTACAGGAGCAGAATAATAAATGCATGCCATTTTCTGTCAATTTGAATATGCCATGCAGAGTTTGTTCATTTTTATCACTGAATGGCGTGGAGAATTCTGAATAACATTGCAACTATACAGGTCATGAACTAACAGTAAATAATAGGATAATTTGTGATTGATGCCTTTTAAAAAGTTCCTTTGAATCATGCTTTGATTTGGATTAACTTATATATTGTTTTTCTGCTTTAGGGATTGTTCATATTACCTAACAGAACTGGGAAAAAAGACTCAGAATCCAAAAAGTTAAAAACATAAATCAATACTTTAATTAATACTGGTGCCATTTAAAATTAAAAGCTTGATGAAAGAAAGGTGTTCTTATCTAAAATAATTTATCTATCACAGAATCCTGAGCTATGGGATCTAAAAGCCAAAAAACCCTTCATTCCATAGTGTGGAAGCAACAAATGAGAAGCCCTCATGCCAGAAAAACAGACCTGTGGTAGCAGAAGTATCTTCCAAAAGAGACATTTCTGCAGATCCATCAGCTGGGCAGAGCTGGTAACAGGAGAGAAATTCTTGGTCTCTAAGTGATTTAGGACATTAAAGTTTAATATCAGCAAATAAAATACGCCTGGTTTAAAATTGGCAGCCAGAGCAGATTTTTCAGTATTGTAAAGGCATCATTGGTCTGTATGCCTGTTAGCAACCAGGCTGCGTCCTATTGCATCAATTGTAGTTTCTGGCTGCTTTTCAAGTGAAATCCCAGGTACCACATATTGTAAATTATGCAACAGTAGAGATACTGCCTGGGAATTCAGTGACGAATTAGCTTTCCAGAACTGAAAACCTGCTGTTTCAATGAGAGTATAACTTCATCTAAAACAAGCTGAAGCTCTATTCCTACGTTCATTTTTCTAATTATAGGTTAATTGCAGTTGAGACTAGAAAATAGAAAAATGTCCTTTCAACACATTTAGAAGTGTAAAGGTTGACCTTTGGGGTGATAAGTAGGCTATTGGCATGAGAGGTGATGAACGTGCTTGGAGCTATCCTGCAAATTATACATTATTTTGCCTTCCAGAAAGAAACAAACTTCTAGCTGTTTGTTTTTTAGTACTGATAAGAACTGCAAAAGAACAAAAGCTAGTTTTCTCTCATGGAGAATTTCTCCCTGACGACTGCATTATTGCAATCTGAATGTACAACATTACTGTACATTTTGCTTTTATTATTTGTCGGGAAAGGCTTCCATTTTGTAGAATAGGAATCATACTATTATATATTGATTTATCTGATTGATTATTGTCTACACTGACTGGCAGCAGATTTTCCCCTGGGATTCCAACCAAAATCTTTTTCAAACCTACCTGGAGAGACTCAGAATGAAACGTAGAAATGTTGACATCAAAGCAAATCTCTGTAGATTTACACCCCTCTACTTCAGGGGTGTCAAACTCAAGGCCTGGGATCCGGATCTGGCTAGCGGGGTGCTTAGATCTGGCCCACAGGGCCATCCTGGAAACAGCGAAGGACCTGTCCGTGGTGCCTCTGCCAGAAAAATGGAGCATGCAGCCCTCCCCAGCTCCTTTTCCACTGGCAGAGGGTTGAAGGAGTCCATCACAACCAAACAGAGCTTACAAGGGCCGCCCACAGCCCTAACTAGCTCCATTTTTGCTAGCAGAGTATTGCAGGAAGCTGTCGCAGGTGAAAATGAAGTTCAGGAGTCCGTTTTTGCTGGCAGAGCGCTTGGGCCACCACAGCCACCCCTGACATGAGTGACATCAAGCTGGCCACACCCATCCTGGCTACACCCCCCCCAAGGTCAAACACAACCCTGATGTGGCCCTCAATGAAATTGAGTTTGACACCCCTGGTCTACTTCATCTGGGAAATATTTATGATCATCAGGTAATAGTGAAACCTGCATGGAACATCTTTCCCCATTTATATTGGGAACTGGGGAAATAAATGTATGCAGCAAGGATGTTGTGCACTGTTTTATTTTCACAGTGCTGATTGGTCTCTTTTTCTTCTGTCAGTGTAATACAATGTCTGTATTATTTACACAAAGAGCATTATTTTACTATTGTTCCTGGATCTATCTATGTATTTGTTCCTGAACTGCAAATATTGTATCTGGTTACAGATTTTTCTCCCCAATAATTGAAAATATCAGAATTTTCCCACTTTTACAGTTTTGGTAACCTATCGGATTAGGAAATGGGTTCATCATTTGATCTTGAGCCATTTATATAGTAAGATTATCCCTGTCTTTTCCAGTGGGTAAACTAAACTAGACTAAATTAAATCTTTTATGTCTTGGTTAAAAACCCCAAAGAAATTGTTAAACAGTGCGTTGCCTTCAAGTTAGTTTTTGACACCTCGTGAGTGCCTGGACTAGTCCCTGCTGTCTTCTTGGCAAGGTTTTTTGGAAGTGATTTGCCATTGCCCGCTTTTTAGAGAGAGGGAGAGACTGACTTAAAGTTATGAAGCTGGCTTTTTGACAGAGGTGGTACTAGAACTCACTGTCGCACAGTTTCTAGTCTGGTACCTTAGCCACTTTTCCAAACTGGTTCTCCTAATAAAATGAAATAACTAAAGAAGGAAAAGTAAATGTATGCTTAATCCAGATTAGACAGATGTGTTCTATTTACTCAAGAGGTAGACTGAGGATTTAATGGAAAAGAGAGAGCTATAAATCTATGTGAAACAGAATCAATTGTTTGCTTTCAGTTATCAGTTAGTCAGCGTCCTATCTCTTAGTCTAGATAGGTCTCTGCCACATCAAATAATCAAATACTTTTCTTGGCTTCCTTTGGTTATGTAACACTGCTTTATGCAGCTTGCAACCCACCTCTAAGCTCTGTTCTCTAGGTAACAAAGGCAAAACAAAATTATTCAGATACTCAGACACTTATTCTGAGTAAGCTACCTGCCAAGTTGTCTTATTATCAATGGAAATCTAAGAAAGATTTCCATTCAAAAGGCAAAAGAAAGGAATATCTGAGGTTTTGCTTAACACTATGCTTTTATTTATATAATTGCGGCATTTCCTCAATTCCTTAATGTATGGCATTGCTACTACAGTAAATCTTCCATACAGTACATTTACTGTACAGTTTTTTTTTTAATTAAAAAGGGCAATGTGAAGAAACTACATAAGAAACACTGACCTGCTTTGCAGGAGAGCCATGCATACTCTTCTCCTTGTTCAAATGAACATATTGCTACTGTTTTTGCAAGGTGGGAAAACATTTAGAGTCTCACCATCCTACCTTTTGCAACAAGTACATTAACCACTAGTTTGGTCTAGTGGTTAATATGCAGGCATAGGAGTCTAGTCTAGTCCTGCCTTAGGCAGAGGAATCAACGGTGACAAGTGATCTCTCACTTTTAGGAAGAATGTAGTAACAAACCATGTTTCAAAAATGTTGCCCAAAAAATGTTATGAAAGTTCATGTCCTGCCCATATAATCACGAGACGTCAGGATTGACATGACACACAGGCACATAATTATGATGACATTATTATAACATGCCATTTTTAAAAATGTTTAGAAATTTTAAAAAATCATATTTCAAGAAATATGAAATATTGCAAATACCACTCCTTTATTCATATGAAAAGAGGTTAATGAAGAATCATACTCCGCTAGAATATCCTCAACTGAGCTATGTTAGATAAAAACTGAAGAGACATTGAAGTATTTCTCATCTACAGCATG